TCCAGAATATAACAGAGAAGTTCTGTAGGGATAAATGCAGTTTAAAAATACCATGACCAGACTTTGACCCATCTAATAAAGAACTATAGTATGATGAAATAGTTAAAGACACATACAAAAATTTGGAAACTAGATTTGAGATAATAGTCTGTGTCAACCATCTCCCACAAACCCCCAATCCTTTATATCTTCTAGAGCATTTGGGATATTCACCTAGAGGTTAGTAAATCACAAGACTGTTGAAGGGATATAAGGAACAGGGCTGGAGGTGAAGGTGGAGAATTATGTCGCATGGGTGAGTCACTAAGTGAATAAAGCACGACCATAAATGTAAGATTTCAACTGAAGAAAATTTAGATAGAAATTTTTAAAAGGTTGACCATTAAAGGTTGATCATTAAAAGCTACCAGGTGGTAACTCTTGTTTAATGAAGAAAGAGAGCAAACAACCAAGCATCACTCAAGGAACACATGCATGACTGAAAAATTGGGAAAACTATGTAACTCTGGGAAGTAGTTGGAAATGGTACCAGAGTGGAGCCAGACCCTTGATCTCAGAAAGGAGAAAGAGAACAATCAAAGTTGAAAAAACATTGAGAAGGAGAGCCAGTCAAGGCTGTGAAAGCTAAATTAAATTTCCTAGAACAAGGTAGTAGAATCCAGTAAGATATAACCCAGAGTCAGTTGGAATGCCAACACTCTTTGGAACATAAATGGCTGCTTAATGCATTTTACAGATACATGTGAAATGGGAATAAAGGCTAATGTAATTGTTCAACAATGTGGTGCAGATGATGAAATCTAAGCACTTAATTTGGAGAAGAGTATAGTATTAAGATGACTGCCTTGATTCTGTGAAGAGTATGACATGTTTGAATGGGCTTGACAGGGAAAATGGACTATTCTCTGTAATTCAGAAATCTAAAGCTAGTTATTTCTTCTAGGAACAAGCATTTTATTCATTTAGCTTTCTCTATTGTTTTTTGACAATGTTTTGAACACCAACACCACCAACAAAAAAGACACTTGAACCCCCAAATGGAATTGGACTTGTTCTACACATCTAATTGTATAGATTATTGCCCAATGTGTCTAACTCATTTGATTAAGAGATGGATTACTCAATAAGAAGCAATGTTACAGTGAGAAACTAAATTCCTATTCTTATTTTGTTTCCAAACTATTTATTATAAGGGAACATCTAGAAGAGGGTAGTGTATGTTTCTGTTTACTAATCTTTCACTAGGAAGACCCCAACAGAAGGAGTGCCATTGCATAAGTGGGTTCTCTATTTGGAACCTAGAGAAACAGCCTGGAAAGACTTGGAGACACAGTGGAAAGAGAAACTTCTAGGCTGTTGGTTCTCAAATAAGGAAAAGGGAAACTACTCAGTTCCATGTCCAGTGAGTTTCCTGTGGTGTTGTATCTGGTCTCCATGGGGAGGGCTTTAGAAAGTGTCTTGCCAGATGTTACCTTCTCTCTCCGTACTCAATAGATAGTTAGTTCACAGCTACTCACAGAGGTCCACCTCCAATCAAAGACAAAGTGGAGAAGCTTATAACACTCCTTGCTTTCCTCTTTTGACCCCTCTCTGTGCCAGAGACCCTACTGCTGCCCCAGTCAAAATATAGAATCAATTTAGCTACATTTATTTTATTCCTTACTCCAGAGATATTAATATTTCAAGACAAATGTTACATGAAAAGTGAAATTTCACGTATCTGAGTGATTATTTTTGGATAGCTAATGTTTTTGGATAGCTAATTTTAGATTTTGGATAGCTAAACCTTAGACAAGTATAGTCAATGATATTTTAAAAATCATAAAAGCTAATATGCTAAAGGAATTATAATTAAAATATACAACTGTTTCTTCATTCGGTCTTCTCAGATTTTTTTTAGCAAACTGGTCCACATTGCTATGATCTTTCATTAGGTTTGTGTAATATGTTTCTGAGTTTCTAAATATTTTTAGTACAGCAAGGCTAAGATCAGATCACCTTAGAATCCCATTATCTTTTTGCTTGGTATTCATTTGAAAGGAGCAATGATATCCAAATATCTTCTGTTTATATCTTCACCAAAAGGGAAAGTTGCATGTTTTCACTTATCAATGACAAACCAAGCCATGACACCCACTCGAATGACTGCCTCTCCAACTTCCAACACTAAGCACAATAAGAAAAAAAAAAAATGAATCAATAGGAGAATTTTTTTTGCCTCTTCTTTTCTTCTTCAGCTTATTAAAGAAAAAGCATAAAAGTAGCTGAATACAAATTATAGGATCAGAATATATTACTGCCTGATATGGAAGGTTCCTGTAGGTGTGTGGCTCTTCCTAACATTCATCACATGTATAATGTACCTCAAAGTTTGCCCCAATAAATCTTTTGGTTCTCAGATAGAATTATAGTCTCCCAGCTGTTAAAGACCACTGCACACAGTACCAAACCCCAGAAAGGTACGACTCCCTATAGATACAGAGATTGTCTTTCCCAAAGCCTAGGGGGGATAATCAATTAATTTTAGAATAGGAAGTAACAGGATAATATAACCAGTTTTCTACTGAGTGAGTCAGTGTTTAACATCATCGTGCTTCTTTTTCTTCAGCACACATGGTCTCATAATTTACCTATCCCACTGGGTCTTTGTTAAGATTAAATTGAATAAAGTTTACAGAATGCCTAGCAAATAAAAATCCCTTAATGAATGGCAGCCATTACCATTGTTCTGCCAATATTTGAGTTTGGAGAACGACTTTGTTCTTCGAGTAGGGCATAGAGTTGGTTTATGGTGGGTTAGAAAGGCAGAGGGTGGATTTCAGAAGCAAATCTAAGAATTATTATTAAGCTAAGCTATATGCAAAGCCATCATGAAAAACAACAATAATAGTGGATTGCTACCAAAAAAATCTTAGAAGACTTCTGGTGAAATTTGTCAAAAATACCAACAAAGGAAATATGAGACCTGTTCTAGGCTAGGTCGTGCCTAGCTTAATTTAAGCAACTGCCTTCTTACACAGTGGGGAATAAGGCAGATATATAAATTGCAAGATACATAAAAACAAGGTATTTTAAAACACATGGCACACCTCCGCTGCTTGACTTTATACTGGGAACTAAAGTAACAGGTAACACAGATGTATTTATTGGGGTTTCAGCTATTTAATAAAAGGCTTTTTATGTTAAGTATCCTGGATTACCTAAAAAACATTTCCTTTGTCATTAGATAATGATGGGAGAGCGGGAGAGCGTTTCCTATATATTGAGAGGCTGATGGATCAGTACATATTTAAAGATTGTCTTTGGTTGATGAAAGACATTTTCTGAGCTGTGTTTCTCTCCACTTAATCTCTAATGTGGCCTGGACACCTCCTTGACATCTCTTTAGTAAATCAAAACCTCCCCAAAATCAGTTATGTCCAAAAATAATCTCATTATCTATCCCTTCCCTTCCAATCCCAGCTCTAACCTGCTTCTCTTCCTGGATTCCTTGCCATATCCTCCTCATAGAGAAAAGTACTATTACCCACAAACTGTTCAGTTTTGTAAGCCAGAAGTTTAGGAGTCATTCTTGACCCTACCCCTCCTTTCCTTTCAAATCCAGCTCGTCATCAGGAACTGTTGATTTTACTTCCTAACCTCCTCCCTCTGTCTATTTCTCTTCATCTCCCCTACCATCGGTCTATCTAACTTCCCATCATCTCTCTCCTGGACTACTGTGATAGCTTCCTAACTGGTCTAACCTTGCATGCTCCCCCACCAGCATGGCAGCCCTTACCCCAAAACTATTCTTGCATCATAGCATGAACCCGATCATATTAGTCTACCACCCCGACCCCATGCTCAAAACTGTTGGATGACTCTTGACGTTCTTAGGAAGAAGAGGAAAAATAAAAAATGCCTTAACATGATCTACAAAGCCCCGTCCTGCCTCCTTCATGTATAATCTACTTCATGAATAACCTATTCTTTTCGTCTCTGCTCCAGCCACACTAGCCTTTGTGTGCTCCCTGTGCTTCCTCCAGCACAAGGCAGTTATGGCTCTTGCTGCTGCCTGAACCACTCGTGCCAACCCTTTGGCCTAGTTATCTGTTCAGATTTCAGTTCAGTCGTCAATTCCTTAAGGAAACCTGCCTTGACCTCTGGACCATACCAATTCCCTGTTTCAAACTTTCATAGCCCCTTGCAACTCTCCTTTTATAGCACTTAATGAACCTATGATTTGATTTTGTCTACATGATTGATATTTTTCTTTCCTATTACTAAGAAAGTTCCAGGAGAGGGCGCCTGGGTGGCTCAGTTGGTTAAGCGACCGCCTTCGGCTCAGGTCATGATCCTGGAGTCCCGGGATCGAGTCCCGTATCGGGCTCCCTGCTCGGCGGGGAGTCTGCTTCTCCCTCTGCCCCTCCCCCCTCTCATGTGCTCTCTCTCAAATAAATAAATAAAATCTTAAAAAAAAAAAAGAAAAGAAAAGAAAGTTCCAGGAGAGAAGGGACCATACCTATTTTTGATACCAGTTGGCCCAGCCCAAGCATAGGGTCTATGACCCGGTGGTACTCAATAACAAATATTTATTGAATGAATAAATAAATGATGTCAGGTAAGTTTTCCACATTGCTTTCAGGGAAGACACTTCACTGTTTTTGCTTAAAAGAAAAAAAAAAGGGTGCCTGGGTGGCTCAGCCAGTTAAGCGTCTGCCTTCGGCTCAGGTCATGATCCCAGGGTCCTGGGATCGAGCCCCGCATCGGGCTCCCTGCTCAGCGGGCAGCCTGCTCCTCCCTCTGCCTCTGCCTGTCTCTCTGCCTACTTGTTCTCTCTCACTCTGTCAGATAAATAAATAAAATCTTTAAAAAGAAAAAAAAAAAGAGCCTTAGCAGGCAATCTGTTGTGTAAAATGTCCAGTTTGGTCTAGGAATACAAACATGAAAATGGTTAATTCAACCAAGCCAAGGTAAGGATATGAGGTTTTGCAGAAAGGGAGTTCCTAATGCTTTTTTACCTTCAGTTTTAAAGAGTTCAGCTTTTCCTCCCTGAGGTGTTCTCTCAACATCTCCCGGTGGAGCCTCTCTTGTTCTCTTGCAAATTCACCAAGAGTGTACTGTCGCACGCTGTTATGGCGGCTGGACATGCCCAAGGTGCTGCCCCCTTGACTGGGCACGCTCGTGAAGCCCTGCCTCCTGGTGAAGTAGTACACGGTGACACAACTAAAATGCACATTCTTTGTCCTTAGCCGCTTCTCTCTTTTGAGGATGGAGGAAGCTGAAAGAGAAAGGAACAATTCAGTGAACACCCAGGGCAGCGGTTTTCAGATGAGGTGAAGAATTAGAAAGTGCCATTTGATGATACTGAATCTACAGTCACCCCTTTCTGGCTAGGAGACACTAAAAATATTCTATCTGAGAGCTGGCGCAGATCTCTATTTCCTTTCTTAAATTTCCTTCTAGCTGTAGTGGAGTAGACTTTTAAGTCCTCTATAATGGCAGTCTAAGCAAACTTTCAGGAAAGTTGCCAATAGTCTATGAGTCAGTGGCAGAATTTAATTTTATTTCCCCTAACGTCTTAAGTTTAGGTTTCATGGTTTTCACGTGAGTTGCATCATACTCTAATCAGAAAAGACACACTACAAACTCTTATATTCTGGATCTTATTTTGATATTGAGGGCACTTGGCATAGAAAAATGTCTATTCACGAATTTTAGAAAATTTCAAAAAGCAGTAAAAACTCACAAAAAAGGCTCAGTGGCACTATTTAGACATTTTTACAACCTAAATCTAACAAAGCTTTCATTTGATAAGAACCACACTTAAATAGCATTACAGACAGTGGGATTTTAATACAAGTATACACTGAGACGGTTGAAGATGGTCATGAAATACATCAGAACCTTTGTTAGTTACAGGGACACCAAGATGCATTGAACATCATGGAAGTTTGAGATACACACTGTAGTTGAGGAAAAGAGAGCCACACATTATAAACATGACCTTTCTGGAGTTGGAAGACATGCTAGACATCATCTAACCCAGTCCTTCTATTTTATAAAGTAGCCCAGACTTGCAGAATTTGAGTGCGTTTTTTCAGTGCAGGTAGTGGCGAAGCTAAACTTAAACTTAAGTGCCTCCAACCCGGTGCCATATTATATGACGCTTCTCCACTGGAGAAGGAAAAGTACACTGAATTGAGAAGAAAAATATAGAATCGTGCTCTTATGGGTCATTTCCCCACCACCGCCACCAGTATGTTGAGGTTCTAACCCTCAAGACCCCAGGTTGTAACCTTATTAGGGAACGAGGTCTTCAAACAGATGATCAGTTGAGGTCATTGGGGTGGGTGTTAATCCAGTACAACTGGTGTCCATATAAAAAGGGAAAATTTAAACACACACGCACAGGGGGATGATGTAAAAAGGCAAAGGGAGAAGTTCATGTGAAGATGGATACAGCGATTGGGAATGTGCTGCAGAGAGCTAAGTGATGCCTAGGACTACCAGAAGCTGGAAATGCAAGGAAAGCTACAGCTTTCCGAGAGAGCACAGTTCTGCTAACACGTTGATTTCAATCTAGTCTCCAGAACTGTGGGACAGAAATATCTGTCGTGCTAAGCCACTGAGTTAGCGGTATTTTGTTTCTAAACTAATATGCATGTTCAGAAAAATAGAAACAACAAATCGAGCAAAAATCCTTGGATAGCAACAAGTAATACAAGCTAACATTTATGGAGGGCTTCCCAAGTGCTATACTGTGCGAAGCATTTTACATGAATGATCTCATTTTATTCTTACATCTCCTTGGGTTGGTATTACCCATGTCTCCATTTGAGGAAACCAAGTCACCAAAGGTTAAATAATATTATCAAAGTCACGTAACCAGTAGTGAAGCTGGGATTCATTATTCCAGGGTCCAGGCTCTTAACCACCGTATCACAGAGAGCTGAAGCCACCCTAAGGGAGCTGAACGAGGCTGAGACTTGGTGTCATACTACTTCTGGTAGATGTCAACTGCTGCTGCCTTCAAAGAGGGTTTTGATTTAGAAGGCCGTATAAGCAACGAGAGAAAAGGGACTACAGTATCACTTTCTTCCAAAGGGGTTCAATTCCTTTGTCTCATATCCCCCTGCCCCCACCTCACAAAGCATTCCAACCAAATACAGGGAGGCTGTTATGATTCATCTCATTTCATGAATTGGTTTATTCAATAACTATAAACCAAGGGCCCGCTATGTGCCAGGCACATTCCAGATGATTGGATATATTGGTGAAAAAACCAGATGGTGATTCCTGCCCACATGGAGCTTTCATTTCCAGTGATGAGAAACTCAGACAGAATGAACAGACTCAGAAGTTTACAGAGTTAAGAGAAATATGACATTTGGGCAAGAATTTCATTTTCCCAACTTCTTCTCTTCTCTACTGTTTTACTTCTCCGGAAGAGATTGCCAGAAAGCAAAGGCTTTCAAACATGTACACAATTTTCCCATTTTATTTATGTATATGTTCACTGCACATACTTGTGCTCCTGGCAGCAGAGACAGTTTTCAACTTTGATTTAAAAACCCTGATCTGCTTCATAATGGTATATTTAAATCATCTCAAAACAGGGAAGAATTTGTCAAAATGTAAAAGATTACCGTCGAAAGAAAAATTCAACAACCTGCCTAGTAATCTGCCACCCTATCTGACAGCCTCATCCGTCACCACCTTATAGCAGGCGAGAGCCTCTGGTTTTGGGGGTGATAACCTTCAACCTTTTTCACTCTTGATATCATAAAATTATGCCCTTAAGACATTACCTTTCAAGGCCATGACTTTAGATTAAAAAAAAAAAAGACTTTAATGAACTCATTTAAAATAATTATTATAAACATCTCTCATGATTTTATTACTTATTTTTTAGACAATTCATGGTAGTCTAGACAAATTTTTCTTCTTAATATCTATTTAGATTTGTACCTGTACTTTTAGATTATAAGAATTCTTCAATCTTCTGGATGAATCTATTGTGATATGAATCTACCACTTCCTAAAAAGCCAGATTACCTTTTCCCAAAAAGACAATTTTCCAAGGCTTTGAGGATAACGATAGTGGCAGACTGTTGAGTCCCTTCCCCTGGGCTCTTGGCATTGCTAACATGGTCAAAGTGTGTTAGGATTGGATTGGTGTCAGTTCCTATCCACGAGGGTTTATAATTCAAACCTGTGCTTATCCTTGTCCTAGAATTTGCATATTATAAATAGCACTGTAAAAACAATGACCAAAATGCCTATGGAATATATTTAAAAGGAAAGCTTTGAAATACTATAAGATCAGCCTTGTGGGAGATATTTCAAATGTGGCTTTCCTGAATATAGGAGCCACCCACGTCTCTCTTCTGGTGATTGAATTGGAGCACTAGAATGGGCCTTTATGGACTATCTCCTGCCTCCAGGCCCCAATTTGACTAACATCACAAAATGAAGTCATAAAAAAGAGTCTGTGTTCTTCAAGCCTGGAAAAAACAGGCCAAATTCACTCAGCACATCTGCCTTAGGGAATCTGAAACCTCCCTCATATGCCTACCTAGCAATTTGTGCCATTTGCAGAGGGATTGAACTCTACTTTGTGTCTCTACAGAGTTCAAAATTCACTTTACCACTGTGAGGTCAAGAGCAAGTAGAAGAAGGGTGAAGGTGTCTTTCACTACTTCTTTGAAAAATAATTAGTCTGTTTTCATACATGATACTAAGTTTTTCGTGTCTTTCATCCCAATTTCTTTTATCCCATTCACAGTCGCCACCCTGAAATGGAAGTGTCTAAATGCAACAGTGCTATGTATACTACCCAGGACACAGCTCCTGAGAACACCATTATGGTTCCCATCAGGGCACACTGGTGTTACTGTAAAATGATCACATATTATGGAGATAATATCGATCTTGGTCAACTAAAGGAATAAAGAGCACAGAGTTACTGATGTTAGTTATCTGCAGAATATAGCCTTCCTAAAATACTGCTTTAGAAGTGAATGGAGAAGAGAATTGAGCAATTGCCTAATTCACAATGCCAGGATAAGAATGTAAGTGGATAAACTAAAATAATCTGTGCCATAAGTTATATAAAGAGTTTATGAACAGAGTGGATTTGAAACGGAAGCCAAAACTAAAAGTTGGACGCGTATTTGCAAGACCATCCAGGGAAGTCAATGCTTTGATGAGACAAATATTCTGAATATTCTGATCCCATAGAGGAGATGAATAGATCAAGGTATCGTCGTTGAATCAAATTAAGCTCTAAGAAAATTCATCTGACTTTGCTCCACTTCCACACTCATAAACCAACCTGTTCATACAAATTGGAACACATCTTCAGATCAACAAGACTACCCAGTTGACTCATTAATTTTATCTCTTGCTGAAAATAATCAAATTTGTTTCAGATGTGCAAGTCAGTCATTTCTGAATGTGGTTAGTATGTGTCGTTCCATCTGAGATTGCCTTCTCTGCATGCAAGAGACCATCCTGTGTCTGGGCCTGGAAGACTGAAGACTACATCTTAGACCATTGATCCCACTGTAGTGCAGCACTCTGGAGCTAATAATGCTTGAGCAGCAAGCCAGTGACCCTCTCAAAGCAGTTGTTCTTTTTAGTGCCAACAACCATCAGCAAAGCACTGGCATAGCCTGAAAGGCAGAAAGCAGTAAACTGAGCTATGTGTTTTGGCACCAAATTTGGTACACAGAGGTTGAGAGTTAGTGGTCCAGTCTGATGTTGAACAAGGGGCAAATTATGGAAAATATTAATTCTACCATGTGGGTCTAAAGTCAATAATATATTTCTCTCTCCTATGCACTATGCTCAAAAGGAAAATGCCAGATGACTTGTAAGTCTACATTTTGAGTTTATTTTTCATTTATTTGGGGAAAATTTAGTCTAAGCAAAATGACATGACTGAAATTAACTTGTTTATCTGGTAAATCCTGGGCAATAAAAACTCTTGTTTTTTAAAACATACACACCAAATTAATCAGGGGCTCCGCAAGTGTGCATGCTGCATCTTACCTTTTGAAGAACAAATCAAGATCAAGTCAGTTATGAAGTCATGAAGCTTAGCTTACAAACAGAAAATCCAGTTTCACCAGAAAATATTTTGTATAAAAATTAGCCTCATAGCTCAAATATTACATCAATTTCCAATGGGTAAAGTTATTAAGATTAAAACAAAATATGTCCCTAATCTTTACAAGTGACTTCTGCAAATGGCCTGTGATCATATTCTCATATCCT